TCCATTTTTGCATTAAGAATCTAAATGCTAAAAGCAACCCTGTGATCTTCCAAAATCTTCCAAAATTTCCACGATTCGAACATGGTTTAATGGAAAAAAGCGGCAACATTGCTTTTTCGAGTGTACAGTGGCTAGCTGCGTTTCAGTGATCGCCGATCGAGATTTCATTTATTGTTTTACATTATTTGGATAAAGAAAATTTAAGCAAATTCAACATCGATGTGATGCTGATAGAAATCTGTATCACTTTTTGTGATCAACTCTGTTTGTTTTGTTTCCTAATTAAGTGAGGAAATTTTAATTGACAGCACCGACAAATGAATATATACAAAAAAAAATGTTCGGTTATCGTTAAAACAATTCAAGTTTTTGTATTGAACTTTTGGTTTCAAATTTAATTTTTCCTTTTCAATAGGGTTTTTGCACATTATCTTTTGCGTGAGAATTGATCGTAATAGATACGGATCTGAATAAGCGACTGGAACACGGCTGTTTGTCAAAAGCATACGATTTCGAACTCGCGTAAATGTACATTTGCTAAATGCGATAGCATGAATGCTCTTCGAAAACATATGTTCGAAAGTGCTAAATGTTGCATTTTAAATGCAGCAAAAACGCTGCATTAGCAAACGATTTATAATTATGTTTTCAATTTTCACTTTACGTAATTCCTGTATTTAACACCCGCAATAGATTAGGGTTAATTACACTGGATAACAAATCTTAAATTAGATTTTGTTCTCCAGATGCTACTATCCAATTTGTATGTAGAACTGCTCGCTGATTCCAAAAATCGAATTATTTCATTTTTGTATTTTTTTTTCAGCTTAAAAAAGAGTGGTTCCACCTCATCAAGTGTATATCTTAAGAACCAGTTAAATAATCGTAATGCGAGGTACAGTGAATGAAAGAAAATGAAATTCTCTATAAACCGTATATACATCACTTTTCGATAGCCCTGATCAGAAATCTCAGAAATTAATTAATCATTCCAGATATTTTTTTTAATGGAAAAATGCAAAAAATTCAAACCGGGAAAAACCTGTTCCTTTAGAAAAAAATGAAGAAACTCGATAAATAAATAAGAAAATAATGATTGCTCAAATGAAAATTCGCAAAGATTTTTCGTATGAACTATGAGCAGAAAAGAGTGTTACTCATACGCCACGTACATCTGAGTAGGTAGAGTGTTTGAATCGAAAACAAGAGGCGTCAGAAATGATGAAATAATTTCTCAGAAACTATCACGGCTATTGAAAAGTGATGCAAGAATGATAGAATACAAGATTGCGCCGATCAGAGAGGATTTTTGAGAATAACTTTTGTGTGACGTCACACTGGTGCAGTTGCGAGAGAGAAATGCCAAAACGTGAGCAAGAATGGAAGAAGAAGAAAAAATGTTGCAAGGAAAATGTAAACAAGATGCACCAGTGTGACGTCATGCAAACGACGATTCTGTCAAATTCGTTAAGAGAGGAATAGCGGTCCGAGATCGGCGCAACCTTTGTATTCTCTCAATCGTGAAGTGATGTATATACGGTTTTGGGAGAATTTTATTTGCTTTCATTTCCCGTATCTTATTACGATTATTCAATTGGTTCGTAAGATATACGTGATTAAGGGAAACCACTATTTTTTAAAGCTGAATAACAGTAAATTGCAAATATCTCGAAAAGTTATTCATAGAAAAAAAATTATCTCGATTTTCCGAATAACCGAGGAATTCTACTTGGGAACTGGATAGTGGCATCTGGAGAACATTTTTGCTATAAAACAGTGTTATTATTGCAATCGATAGTTCGTCGATTCCTCTTCATTGTTGGTAAATTTTTAACGTTTGTTTATAAATAATTTTTTACATTTTACAGCTCCGGTATTTAGCACCCCAGGAGTAAGAAATTCATTACTTTCATTTGATACCTGTGATAAAAATAAAAAATCGGAACAATGTCACCTTCGTATAACTTACGTAAACTTTGAAACTTTTTTAAATAGTCCGGGAAATCTCTCCAATCCCCTCAAACTTCCAAATGTAGACGAAAATGATGATGATGACAATCATTACCAAATTGAAATAAGTTAATAGAATATAAAATTAACACAGTTGCTTTATTTCACTGTTGGCAGTTGTAATTAAACCTAATTATATAAACTTATACTTTCTGATAAACATATCTTTTATTATAGTAGTTGCGTATTTTTTTACGGAAAAGAAACATTTTTATAAAAAAAATTTCATAATTTCGTTTTCTTACTTTTTCTCGAAAATCACTTCCAATCAACGCGCAGATACGTAAAAAGGGATAGAGAACAGAATTTTTAATTATCAAGTGAACTACTAAATCTAATAAAGTGGAAAATTACCAACAAAAAGTAAATAATCATCAAAGTATCTTCAAATAATCTTGAGAGAAAATAAAACGCGAAGTCAATCAAGTGGGAAATTACTGTCGGACTGCATGCTGTGAAGTGAATTATTGTAATACGATATTGATGAACTACATGATACAAGAGCAGTAATAAAATTAAAAATAATATTTAAATTCATCTATGTATGTCATTTCAATCATAAAGGTATAAGGTATTGTACTATTTAAATTTCAGTATTTCAATGATATGTTTGAGACCAATTGGAGAATTACATTGGAGTTCAAGTTGATAACTAGCATTTTCTCAACTTGAGAAACAGCCCTTTTTTCATGCAAAAAAATGCCATTATACATCCGCACCTCTTCCGTGCTCGTTCTAATGGTTCTTCTACTTCCTTCGCATGAACCAATTAAAACAGATCTGACCGGTTGAGAAGCAGCCATTTGTAATAGCAATTGAGAAAAAAGTGTGTGACGTTCATAATTTTGAAGCTTGCTATTTCTGTTTTGCTTCTTTCTTTATGTGTATTTTGTCGGTGGTTTATTTCAGTGATTTCTAATATTCATANTCTTTATGTGTATTTTGTCGGTGGTTTATTTCAGTGATTTCTAATATTCAATAAATTTTTTGTGCAAATGTTATTAAAATGAAGTGCGCGGTGATTGGTGGCAAAAACAAGTACAAAATAATAATTTGGTTAGCGCAATCATGTGCTGCAAAATTGCTACCATTTTTTTCTTTATGCTTCGTCTTCATATTTTTTGTTTACTTTTCACAGAAAATAACATCAGGTTTGTATATTAACTTCTCCAGTAAAACATTACAGCCAGAGCGTAAAAGCAAAATAGAGCGTAAAATTGACAAGAAGAGAAAACTTACAGAAAAAGTTACTGAACGCAAAACTAGTAAAAACTTGCAAGTGAATAGTTGTTGCACCCTTTTGATATTTTGCTGTAAACATGTTACTATTTATAAATCAGTTTTAAACTCTTTGCTTTTCACACAAGCACTTACACAGTCTAGTACATCCATGAACGAAAGACACAAGATCACGTAAGAACAAGAGAGTGAAAAAAGTCGATTTTTTGAGCGGGTTCTACGCCATCTTGTTTCACTGGAAAACGAGCGAAAAGTAAACAAAGCAAAGAAAACAACGAAAACCAAAATGAGCCAAAATCATTGTCAGCCACTTTAAACGCACAATTTAGGTAAAATGATGCAACAAAATGCTTTGAAATGTGTTGTCATGTTGAATTAACTCTTCTTTACTTGAATAAAAGTGTAAAATAGTGGTGCTTGTAATGTAAACAAACGCTCAGCTGACAAACCCGCTTTCGCAAACTTTTTTCTCAAAACAAGTTACAAATACAACGTCGCGTTCTTACGTGATCTTGTATTTTTGGTTCATGTAGTACATCATTAAGATTTTGATTTCCACTCATTTTACTTTTGTTTGTGCTAAACCAATTCAACAAATGGCGGCTTTTGACATTTATTCTTCTTCTTCTTCTGCTAGCTAATTTCTGCTAGTAGAAATTTCACTAGCAAGAATTTGCAGCTCTCCCGTGTTGTTGCGCTCTCGATTTGTTGCTCTCCTGCAAATTTTTTGGGTTATCATACACTTTTCCAGTAAAAATTTGCAGGTTCCAGTACAAATTAGCACTGACTATTGGTTACTATACAAACCTATGGCGCCGAAATTACAAACGTCAGCCAAAAATTACTTTTTTCTTTTGCTACATCTTTTCAGATATTAGGTTCATTCCTTATCTTTTTGGACTAAAATCTGAAAAGTGTCAAAATGCCAGAGCGTAAGCAAAATGCGCTCACTAAAAGAGAATAACAGGAAAAGTAAAGGAACGCAAAAATCCAAATTTTTAGTCCAAAGAATGGCAACAACAAAGCTAACGTCAAATAAGAATGGAAATGTATGTACAAAACACATTCACACAAACACAAGCACAATAAACACTTACTACATCAATTATTTTTTGCCTCCTTCCAATTTCAATTCACTTTTTTTACTTTTTAGATTATTCTCACTTTTTGCGTATTCTTTAATTTCCGTTAATTTAAATTTAGTTGAGTTTGACACTTTTC